ACGGGCTAAAGACATTTTCGTAGATTAAATAACGTCTATTTGTACAACTCACATAACGGCTTCCATACGGCAGGGTATTCTGTTCTCGTCAAAAAGTAATTTTTGCCTCAAAATGGTTGCTAACAAAAGCCGAAATATTTTGCTGTAATGAGATAACAATGAAATATTAATTTCAGCGCCTTGAAAACTGCGCGTAGGTTGGGGGAGCGACCGTCTCAAAGATGAAGTCATAGGTAGCGGGATTAAAGTAAAAACTCCCCGACTAAACACCCCTTCTGCCTGCCTGTGCAGCGGCCCTAACGTGCAACGGTGAGGAGCCCATGCAGGCTCCACTCTTTTAAACCGACTGGCCATGAGGCAGGTCTTAGTACTGCTTCATGTGCATGTTTAATTTAGTATGTCCATCGTTCTTCATCCTCTGGTCCTTGCAGACTTCCAACTGCTGGGAGAATCACTATCTCATAAAAGTTTGCTTTCCCCGTCCTCTTTTTTGCCTTTGTAACAATGGAATGCATGAATTACACACCCGCATACGGCGACCTGACTAAAAACAGGTGAGCAAATGTTTGTGCCTTGTCTACCAGAAAGAAAGTAATGCACAGTCAGTTGAAGATCTTCAGATATTTTATTACTTCAGTTTTCACAAGTCCGAGGTAGCCAGGACAGGGAAAAGAAAGAAAATTAAAGCGCTTCATTTCATTATGTTTACAAAAATAAAGGGAACATATGTGGGATACTATCATTTATACCAAACTTTTAAACTTATCTGTGCTTTTAAGAACGTCAGCAGCAATTAGTATACTCGCCCTACAGTGTTGTAATTTATCCTACACTCGAGAAAGTGAGACGGCGTGACCGTTACGACTCGGACTACTCTTTATTCTCCTGATTTATCAACTGGTGAACAGGGAATCGTCTCAAATGTACATCCTGTTTTGTTGCCCGTTTATTACAGACAAATAAGGCCTGTTCATAGGACTCACGGATGCTACAGTGACTACTGACTGTTAAGATCATGAGTCGAAATTAAAATCGCGGACTTAACAGGTCTCATTTGTGAATTCTAAAAGTCTCATAGACGGTCTATTTTTACTATATATTCATAATTTGAAAAGCGTTAGTAAATCAACTCGGCAGGCTT